TATGTGTGAAACTTATTGTGGCTTTCATTATCGGCTTCATATTATGCCCGCAAACATGTAAGACATGTCCCTTATGGGCATTTAGATATGCGGAGCAGTTATCAACTTTGAAGAAATACAATTGGTGTCATGCGGTGTTTACTTTTCTTTGTAAAGAGATGAATAAAGCAAAGAAGTCTCTTAGTATGAGGGGATTATGTCAGCGCTTAAATGCTGAGTACATGGGTGATTTTTCATCCGTTTTACTAGTGAGTTACATGAACATTATTTTGTATATATTTTCAATTTGATAATGATTAGTGTTTATGCACATGCTAATGTATAGTTTCTATATTGTAGGTTTGGTTTTATGAAAAAGTAGGGGAAATAGAGTACACTTCAGATATTGAAAGGTTACCGCCGCTCTTTTGTGTGAAGAATACCGGAAAGTGGAGGAGTACTAGTATGAACAAATTATATAGAAATCCGAAGTTTCTTACTGATAATGGCAAAGTGAATACTCCTCTTATTCATAGGGCATCGCCAAGAGTATTTGTACATATCTTTGCTCTCATAGTTCATTATTTTATCTCTCATTTTTTATGTTCTATGTCTGCAACTATAGTATAAGTACTAATACTTGTATTTTTTTATCTTATAGGAATCAAGGAAAGCTGAATTAATTGCCTTAATTGCGGAGAAGACGTACGAGTTGAACGAGCTCACTACAGAATTACGAGAATTAGAAGAGCAAAGTGCTAGATGCAAAAAACAAAACAAGGAGAAAGAGGATGACAGAAATGTAAAATTTGAAAATAAAAGCGAAGAGGATATGGAAGCTAATGAATATGAGAATTTGGAAGAAACTGAGGAAGCCGATATTTGCAATGACATTTTGATGAGCCCAAGAGACATGAAAATTTTAGAAGAAGCTGTGTGAGTTTATTTTTTTTAATTCTCTTGTAATTTTTCTTTTTATACTTTTTGTATAATTCTTGTGTTACTCTTTGTTAATTATATGCATTTCAACTCCATAGCGATGTTTCTCAAAAAGAGGACGGTGGTAATGACAATAAAAAAGAAACCCCATCTATCAAACGGGCTGTCAGAAAGAGGACGAGGAAGGATGGACCCTCTGTTACTTCACCTTATATATGTCTAGATCAAGCAAAGGAAGGCACAAAGAAGAAACGTGTCATCCAAATATTGGATAGTCCTGAGGGGAAAAAAATTACAAAAATGATGAAGGCTTCATACCTACATCTCTCGACTATCCAGGTAAGGTACTGGTCGATGATTATAAGGACAAATTAATTGAAGACTTTCTACAATCGAAAATGACCAGGTATTTGTTACTGGCTTATTCTAATAATAATCTTTGAATTTACTTAATTTGTGTTGCAATTTTCTCACCATGTACTTGCATATAGTGATACATACATTTGGAAGTGTGCCGAAGCAAGCGTATCTCACTTAGATGCTTATAAACTATTGACAGGAGGTGAACTCAGTGATGATGTAGGTCCTAAACATTTGTGTTATGGTTTGTTTGATGTTGTCTATAAAATCACTTATATTAACTACTTTATTCATTCATGGTAAATTTTGTAGGTGATCGATGCATTTGTTATTCGGCTTTGGAACAAGATTGAAACAACTAATAGTTATGATCGAAAGATACATGTCACAAGGCCTTGGCTTGCAGTAAGTATATCCATGTTGTTTCATTAGTTTGTGGTTTTTATTATTATATAACACTACATTGTTGACATTGATGCATCTTTTAGCTAGCATTTCTAGATGGAAATCGTGAAATGGTGGCAAAACGAATGAAGGAAAATGTTTCTCAGCAGAAGTTCTTAGAGTGTGAAAGAATTCTGATCCCGATTGTCAGCTCCGGACATTGGCACCTGGTAGAGTTAGTGAGAGAGGAGAAAAAAATTCTATCACTACTCCTCAATCAAATCCCCCATTTATACCGCCGATGCTGCGAAATTTAGAAATAAGTTTATAAGTTTCATACAGAGTAATTGGAGATTGGGGAACTTGGAGCATCATGTTATTGTGTCAGTTGACACGCCACAACAAGGACCGTAAGTATTTCATGCATTTCTAATGTAAATGTTCATATTTCTCGAAGACATTTTCACTATTGTTTGTTTTTATTAAATGCAGAACTTTAGATTGCGGGATCTTTATGATTGAATTCATTAACAACATTATCAAAAAGCGGTCCATAACAATTTCAGAAAGAGATTGTGCAAAATATAGAGCAAAGTTTTGTGCAACTCTCTTGTATGCACGTGATTCACCTTTTTTGTAATTATTATTTTAATTATCACAATGGTGTTTGTTTTGTGAGCAATATGCGTATGATGTTATGTGGATGATATTATGTGGACGATACCCTCATTTGATATTATGTGGTTGATATTTTGTAAGTCCTTGTTCTAGAGAATAATTTATTGTACCCAGTTATTAAAATTTTGTACCTACTTATGGACATTTTGTACCTAGTTATGCATATTTTATCTTGAAAAAAATTATTGGTACCCAATTTTGCAAGTTTTGTACCAACTTAATCAATTTGTTGTTCCCACTTATGCAGGTTTTGTACATCATTGATCTGAAAAATTTATTTGTACACAGTTATTGAAATTTTGTACCTACTTATGGATATTTTGTACCTAGTTAGGCACATTTTGTACCTCGTAGTTCTTAAAAAAGTTTATTGTACCCAGTTATTAAAGTTTTGTACCCACATAATCAAGTTTTTGTACCTACTTATACAAGTTTTGTACCTCATTGATCTGAATAAATAATTTATACCTAGTTATTATAATTTTGTACCTACTTAATCAAGTTTTGTACCTAGTTAGGCACATTTTGTACCTCGTAGTTCTTGAAAAAGTTTATTGTACCCAGTTATTAAATTTTTGTACCCACTTAATCAAGTTTTTGTACCCACTTAAACAAGTTTTGTACCTCATTGATCTGAAAAAATCTTAATCAAGTTTTTGTACCCACTTAAACAAGTTTTGTACCTCATTGATCTGAAAAAATAATTTGTACCTAGTTATTACTTAAACAAGTTTTGTACCTCATTGATCTGAAAAAATAATTTGTACCTAGTTATTATAATTTTGTACCTAGTTATGCATATTTTGTCTTGAAAAAATTTATTGGTACCCAAATTTGCAAGTTTTGTACTAACTTAATCAATTTTTTGTTCCCACTTATGCAAGTTTTGTACATCATTGATCTGAAAAATTTATTTGTACCCAGTTATTGAAATTTTGTACCTACTTATGGACATTTTGTACCTAGTTAGGCACATTTTGTACCTCGTAGTTCTTGAAAAAGTTTATTATACCCAGTTATTAAAGTTTTGTACCCACTTATTCAAGTTTTTGTACCCACTTATACAAGTTTTGTACCCAGTTATTATAATTTTGTACCTACTTAATCAAGTTTTTGTACCTAGTTAGGCATATTTTGTACCTCGTAGTTCTTGAAAAAAAATATTGATACCTAATTTTGCAAGTTTTGTACCAACTTAATCTCTTTTCTGTACCCACTTACGCACGTTTTGTACCTCGTAGTTCTTGAAAAAGTTTATTGTACCCAGTTATTAAAGTTTTGTACCCACTTAATCAAGTTTTTGTACCCACTTATACAAGTTTTGTACCTCATTGATCTGAAAAAATAATTTGTACCTAGTTATTATAATTTTGTACCTACTTAATCACATTTTGTACCTAGTTAGGCACATTTTGTACCTCGTAGTTCTTGAAAAAGTTTATTGTACCCAGTTATTAAAGTTTTGTACCCACTTAATCAAGTTTTTGTACCCACTTAAACAAGTTTTGTACCTCATTGATCTGAAAAAATAATTTGTACCCAATTATTATAATTTTGTACCTACTTAATCAAGTTTTGTACCTAGTTAGGCATATTTTGTACCTCGTAGTTCTTGAAAAAAAAATATTGATACCCAATTTTGCAAGTTTTGTACCAACTTAATCTCTTTTCTGTACCCACTTACGCACGTTTTGTACCTCGTAGTTCTTGAAAAAGTTTATTGTACCCAGTTATTAAAGTTTTGTACCTACTTATGGATATTTTGTACCTAGTTAGGCACGTTTTGTACCTCGTAGTTCTTGAAAAAGTTTATTGTACCCACTTAAACAAGTTTTGTACCAACTTAATCAATTTTTTGTACCCACTTATGCACGTTTTGTACATCATTGATATGAAAAAAGTTTATAAAAAATAATTTGTACCTAGTTATTGAAATTTTGTACCTACTTATGGACATTTTGTACCTAGTTAGGCACGTTTTGTACCTCGTAGTTCTTAAAAAAGTTTATTGTACCCAGTTATTAAAGTTTTGTACCCACTTAATCAAATTTTGTACCTAGTTAGGCATATTTTGTACCTCGTAGTTCTTGAAAAAAAATATTGATACCCAATTTTGCAAGTTTTGTACCAACTTAATCTCTTTTCTGTACCCACTTACGCACGTTTTGTACCTCGTAGTTCTTGAAAAAGTTTATTGTACCCAGTTATTAAAGTTTTGTACCTACTTAATCAAATTTTGTACCTAGTGTATCTACTTATGCAAGTTTTGTACCTAGTTAGGCATATTTTGTACCTCGTAGTTCTTGAAAAAATTTATTGTACCCACTTATTAAAAATTTGTACCAACTTATGCACATTTTGTATCTCATAGATCTGGAAAAATTTTTGTACCTCATAGACCTGGAAAAAATTAAATTCAAATTATCATCCATACATGATTAATCCATACAACCACATTATCATCTATACAACCAAATCATTCATATGTACATAAACTTTAATTTAAATTATCAACCATATGTGATTAATCCATACAACCAATCATCCATACGTACATAAACTTTAATTCAAATTTTCAACATTCTTCAGAAACACTTGCTTTGTTTTGGCCCACCGTTAACTTTGTTTTGGCCCTCAGTTAACTTTGTTTTGAGCCTCCGTTAACTTTCTCGACCACCACCTGCAACATTTTTCACCTACAAAAAAATTATAACTTTAACATGACAAATGCATCGACAGGAAACAATTATTAAATCAAGATTAAATATAATACCTTAGCTAAAGGACAACTCGTTATATAATGTCCTTTTCCCTTACAAAATCCACAAAATCTTTGTTTTTTCATACCCTTTTCTTGTGCTATCTCCATTCCAGACTTAATTCTAGTAGTTTGTGCTGGTCGTCCCTTCGTGGCAATAGGCTTATCTGGATCACGAATAGTGATTTGAGTTGCGTCCTCTACAGAGATGGGTATGGATGAAGTAGGCATCTTATTGCTGGCATTGCTCTCATTTCCATTATCGTTAAGTTCCTTTTCTTTCTTGTAAGCACCAACTTCTTCAAAAAATGAGTCTAAAAAAGCACTGAACTTATCGTAAAGTGTACTTGAAGTCAATGTATCTTCTAGTGCCTTGTTACATCTACTCCTAAGGGCCCAATGTTTAATGATAGAAAGTTGGTTTTCACTATTTGAAATGCAATTTCTAACAACTCCGCAACCAACATGTCTTGCTTTAATTGTCCATCGTTGCATAATATATCTTGATGGAATTTCTAATACTTGCTTCTTTACTAAAATGTGCAAGCTATGTTTGCATAATATACCTTCCATTTCAAATTTCGCACAAGAGCACTTAATTCTTTTATCTTTGGATGCATCGAAAACAACATGATGCTTTACCGTCTTTTTCCTCCCAGCCTCGCGATCTATATTCCAAACGGCATAAGTAGCACTTGCGCCATCCTTCGACAACCTCTCATGAAGCATGGAGTAACTATCCTTGTGTTCTTTCTGAAAGATATTAAACATATTCTTTGTATAATTCTCCCTAGCTTGTTTTTTCAATGGGATGTTCAATTATCAATGTGGGAACAGAGTTTGTGGACTTAAAATCTTGCTCAAGTTCAGCGGCTCGGCGAGCTTCAGCAGCTTTATTATATTGCTTAACAAAATCATGTAACTCGGTATTTGCATTCACAAAATGATCAAAAAAGGCATTAATTCCCTCACTCCGCTGAGTAGATATCATTCCTGCAGTAAAAGTGTCTTTAAGATACACTGGAGCCTAATGGTCTCGATGATTGTATAAATTTACTAACCAATTCCTTTATCTGCACCATATTTATCCCGCATTTCTTCCCAACACTTTACAATTTTTTCTTCTGATTTACTCCAATACCATTTGTTATACTTTATACCCACGTCCTCACCATATTCATTATACATTGATTGAATATTTTGTAAGGCATTCCTATGAAGGTGCCAAGAACAAAAGTGATGACGAGTTTGAGGAAAAACTTTGTGAATTGCACCACACATAGCTTTATCTTGATCAGTGATGATTGTGGAAAAACTTTGTGAATTGCACCACACATAGCTTTATCTTGATCAGTGATGATTGTTAATGGTGCTATACCCGACATACATTTTAATTGCACCACACATAGCTTTATCTTGATCAGTGATGATTGTTAATGGTGCTATACCCGACATACATTTTAACCATTGGCTAAATAACCATATAAACATCTCCTCCGTTTCATCGGTCAGTAACGCACACCCAAATAGAGTAGATTGTCGATGATGGTTAATGCCCGTAAATGGTGCAAACGGCAATTTTAAATTGTTCGTTCTATATGTAACATCAAAGCAAACAACATCTCCAAATTACAAGTAAGAAGTCTTCGACCTACCATCCATCCAAAAAATACTTCTCATCGTCCCATCATTTTCTAAATCAAGTGCGAAGTAAAATTGAGGATCAGATACCTTTTTCTCTACGAGTTTGAGGAAAAACTTTGTGAATTGCACCACACATAGCTTTATCTTGATCAGTGATGATTGTTAAGGGTGCTACACCCGACATACATTTTAACCATTAGCTAAATAACTATATAAACGTCTCCTCCGTTTCATCGGCCAGTAACGCACACCCAAATAGAGTAGATTGTCAATGATGGTTAACGCCCGTAAATAGTGAAAACGGCAATTTTAAATTGTTCGTTCTATATGTAACATCAAAGCAAACAACATCTCCAAATTGCAAGTAAGAAGTCCTCGACCTACCATCCATCCAAAAAACACTTCTCATCGTCCCATCATTTTCTAAATCAAATGCGAAGTAAAATTGAGGATCAGTTACATTTTTCTCTTGAAATTGACGAACTATGCTCACGCACTCATGACCGACATTATTTTTTCGTTTTATTCTAAGTTGTGCTTGGCATTCTTGTTGAGTGAGAGAGCCTTGCTCATTTCCATGAGCAACGTCTACAACCTTACAAATGGTAGAAGGCCGTAAACCTTGATTGTCAAGAGTATCTATCAACCTTCTTGTCGATTGAGCTCGATGAAGTGTCCGATGTGAGTAGTGCTTCTTTACCCGATTTGGGGTGGTTAATGGATGACCATTATGATTAATGTTTAAATTTCGGACCACCCATTTTTCAGTGCTTCTATCGAGTCCAATAACCATCCTTACATTGCGTCCACATCTTGTATCGAACTTTCGAACTACATTCCGACCATCTTCTCTTTTATCTTTTAAAAATTTAAAACCTTCCTTGTCACATACATATATTCTAGATATGATTGCAACTTTCTTTCTAGACCAAGTTGTGTGACCCTTGCGAACACTAAATCCCTTAAGTCTAGCGTATGCATTGTAGAAATTATAAGCTTCCTCATGAGTAGAAAACTTCATTCCAATATATGGATCAACAACAAAATTACCTTCACTATTTTTAACGCCAATAGGCTCATCAACATTCTGTTCATGCTCGGATGCCTGTAAAAATAGAGAAACAAATATTATAAAACCCATTATAAAAGACAACTATTTTGGTATATGTCATTAGATAGTAGTACACAATAGACAATAAGATATTATCACCTGAGAGAAAAAACTTATCGTAGATAGTAAACCATAGTCATCGCCGTCAAGGTCAAGGGCTATATATTTGTTCTCTTCTTCAACCATTGTTGTATCACGTGAGAGAATTGTTGGCGTGTCCATACAAGCTATCAAATTATCACATATAAGAAGTTCAAAATCTATAGAAAATCATCCTCAAGTTCATCTTTCAATTTCACTAAACAATCTCATTACAATAATTTAAACAATTTTTAAAGCTCATATCCAATTTAACATTAAACCTATCCTAAAATTTAAACTAAAATATGATAGTTAAAACCTCCAACAAACAAGTTAATTCATAACCTCAACTTGGATCAAAAAGCAATGTTGCTCGTAAACTACCAAATGCCAACACGTTCCCATTACAATTCCAACCATCTACTCTAAAATTGATACGATCAAATACAAAAACTGAAAATAAAAGCTGATGAAAAAAAAACCTAACATGCAAAAAAAAAAGCACCTGAGATGATTTTTTTGGGGCGGACGTCGAGCGGAGGTCGAGCGGCCCTAGAGATGTCGAGCGGACGTCGACGTCGAGCGGAGGTCGAGCGGGGATCAATGGCGGAGATCAATGGCGGAGGTCGGACGTCGAGGGAAGGTCGAGCGGAGGTCGAGCGGCCCTAGAGACGTCGAGCGGAGGTCGGACGTCGAGCGGACGTCGACGTCGAGCGGAGGTCGAGCGGGGATCAATGGCGGAGGCGGATCAACGAGCGGGGGGATCAATGGCGGAGGCGGACGACGAGGTTTCAGCGGAAAATTTTTTCCGCTCGTTTTTTTTTCTACGGAAATTTTTTCCGCTGGTTTTTTTCTTCCGTTCGTTTTTTTTTTGGGGAATTTGTTAAACCGCGTCATTAATAGGGTGTTTTTATGGTAATGGGTTTTTTTCTTTTTTTGGGAATTGATTTAAATCAATGGTTGGGATGATTTTGGGGTTTTTGAGATCAATTGCTGAGATTGCGCATCCTTAGGCTACACCTAGGGAGTCATCCTTAGGCTACACCTAGGGTAAGTAACATGGGAGCATGAATGCAAATCTGTATGACCCTCTAATAGAAAATAATGTTGCTGAGTAAGGCACTCACAATATCCTGTGATATCACCTACCTTACTCAATTGCCCTGTGGAAATAGGTGTGTTAACAATGATGCACATGGAGTGAAGTCTACCGCGGTCTCATTGCAGTATACCAACTAACGCATTCTGAGTGTAGTCCTCGCGGTCTCATTGCAGAGTGTCAACTAACCCACTTAAGCATCCAAACTACCATGAAATGTAATATGCGTCACTCTCTATCATGAAAAATGCAGAGTATAGGGTGCGTACCTCCAAACGCTCGTGCGTGATAAAATCCAATACGTGTACTCTCGTAAAATACGCACATGTATCAACGTGTGACTTGAACTCCATGTTCGCGATCAAGGCATGTGAGAAAGAAACAAAGTTTACAAAAATACCCAGACCAGTTGACCGATCATGTGCCATCGGTCGACTGATGGCTTGCACAAAACGTGCACAACAGCCTTGATCAGTCGACTATTGGTCCATGATCGATCGATTGACCAGAGCAAATCAAAAATCTTGATTGACAACATTAGTCGACTGATCTGAGCAAAAATTCCAATTTTCTGGGAAAAAGTTGTATGTTTGCTTATATTCATCAAAACTCAAAATTTCTAAATAAAGCCCATGTATAAAACTTAAATCAACATATTTAAAGTTATACCTACTACATGAAAACACTAAAAATGATCTTAAGGGGATCTAATAACTCTATCATGCTTCTAATTGTAAAACCATCAGGAAAACAACTATCTTGAACAAAAACTCATATTAGATCACGTTCAACACTTAAATCCAAAACTGAGAATTTGTTTTATGTCTTTTTAAATTAAAAGATTAGATCTTTATATCATACGGTTCAAAAAAGAAGTGATATTTATACATAAACTAGGTTTAGAAATCCAACAAAAACTGTTTGAAGTAAAAAAGAAATAGGGGATGGGTTTGGAGGAGATGGAACTCGCCTCAAAACATGCTGAGCTCCCCAAATATGCAAGAAAACACGATCCTCCTTCACCAAAAGTCACGAATCTCACCCTTCTCTTGATTTTACTTCTCAAAGCTCTCAAAATTCAGTAAGGTAGGTTCTAGGGTTTTTAGGGGAGAGGGTGGTTGTCTATTCACGTGAAAGATGAAGGAAAATAGGAGAAATATCGTATATATATACTTATATACACATACGGGCCGAACCGAAATGAAACTGACCCGGAACCGGAAACCTGCCTATGTGCATCCGTTGGTCGACCGATGGCTTTCCATCAGTCGACTGATAGGCACCTATCTGTCGACCGATGCTATATGACCAGTCGACCGATCAACATATAATTCCTACCGACTGTTTTCACTTATGCGTGCATGTTTACACTCGTATATATACACTTATATGTACGTACTCGATCTCAAATCGATTTTAAACATACTCATTCATCCCAGAATAGTATCAGTCATGATAAAAATCATTTATCACTATTTATCATAATATTTTCAAATTTTACAGGGTTTACACTGGCATATCTCACATTATGAAACATATTTGTTAATATCCCTCTTCATATTATTCCACTGGTATATATCCTTCAAATCTTTGCACCTTATTGATGTGTTGTATCTCCAGAACAATGAGCCTTCTTTAAAATCTTCTCTTCAACTCTAGATTATTCAGAAAACAAAGTCTATTTCTGAACCTTAGGTTTGCATCATAATGAATCAAAAAACCTAGTTGTTTACCATCCTCGACTCCTTCTAAATGTCGTTCAATTTGGAGTCATCTTTTTGAGAAATATTAATCTCATCAATCAGTGCAGGTTGTATATGGATGTTAGCTAGTTTACTGGATGATTTTTGACACCAGATATCATCTCTCAACTAACCCAAATCCTCTCATATACATTTTTGTTGAGTAATAAAACAAGCTATATTACTCTTCTGACTAAGGACATCAAGAACTACATTTGATTTCTCCGAATGATAATTAATATTACCATCATAATCTTTGAATAGTTCCAACCATCTCTTTTGTCTTCATTGTTTTTGAGTAAAAATGTATTTTAAAATCTTGTGATCGGTGTAGATCTCATAACGTACTCTGTAGAGATAATTCCTTCAAAATTTAAAGTAATACAATTGCATCTAGCTCTAGATCATGAGTTGGATAATTTTATTCAAAAGGTTTTAGTTGTTGAGAACCATAAGCTACCACATTTTTATTTTGCATGAGCACACATCCTAATCCTTTATAAGAGGCATCGCTATACATAGTAAAATCTTCTTCTGCAACTAGTATGATGAGAACTGGCATAGATGCTAGTTGACACTTTAACTCTTGAATTCACACTTTTCTAAATGAAGCTAGTCAATGGTAAAGTGATATGAGAGGATCCCTCCATGAACCTCTGATAATAACCTCCCAAGCCAAGAAAGCAATGTATCTCATGAGTACTTGTTAGCCTCTTCCAATTCACAACAGCTTTGACTTTTGCTGGTTCCACCGAGAGTCCATCCTTCAAAATAACTTGTTCTAGGAAAAACACACTATCCAACAAGAATTCACACTTCTTAAGTTTTTCACAGAGCTTTTTCTTCCTCAAAGCACCAAGCACACACTATAGATGTTCCTCATGGTCCTTCTAATTGTTTGAATTTGTTAAGATATCATCTATTACAACAAAGTGATCCAAGAAGGACTTAAACACCCTGTTCATAAAGTCCATGAAAAATGCAGGTGCATTCGTTAACCTAAATGGTGATACAAGAAATTCGTAATGATCATAACAGGTTCGAAATGTAGTCTTTAATATCTTTATTCTTAATCTTCAATTGATGAGAGCTCGATCAGAGGTCGATTTTAGAAATTGTCTGAGCTCATTGCAATTGATTGAACAAATTGTTAATCATTGGTAATAGATATTTATTCCATATAGTCACGTTATTTAGCTCCCAATAACCATGTATAATCATATGCCACCATCTTTTTTCTTCACAAATGACACTGGTGCTCTCAAAAATGAAACATCAGGTCTAATAAACCACTTATCTAGAAGTTTCTGGAACTGCTCCTTAAGCACTTTTAGTTCTGTTGGGGCCATTCTGTGAGGGGCCTTTGAGATTGTACTTGTGCCTAGAACCAGTTTATAGAAAATTTTATTTCCCATCGAGTGGTATCCTGAGGAGATATTCTGGAAAGACATCTAGAAATTCAAGCATGATAGGAATTTGATCCAGAATAACTTCTTTCTGGCTTAAGACTTGCACTGATGCTTGTAAACTAATGCACTCACTTCTCAACATGTGATGAACTTGAAGGGCTGATATACTGCGCACAAGTTTTTGCACCTTATTACCCTCAAATCAATACTCTAGTTGTTTAGAAATTCTAAACAACACTTTCTTCTCTCAACACAAAATAAATGCATGATTTCTAGAAAACCAATCCATACCTAGAATGATATCATAATCATGCATATCATGGATGATCAGGATGATCAATTACATTGGAAGCTTCATACCCACTATTTTTATCACACTTTTGCAATGCTTATTAGATATCAATATGCTATCTCCTAGAGTGCTAGCTTGCATTTCTTGCTTTAGTGTATCACATGTCAAATCTTGCTTCCCAATAAATTATGCAGTAATAAAATAATGCAAGCTCCAAAATTAATGAGTGCCTAAACAAAAGTAGAAAATACAAGTATTGTGATGCCACATCATTATTTGCCTGAGCCTCTTGCTCGGTTAGAGATTAAACTCGAGGACTTTGATCACTTTGACGTGCCTTACGAGTCAGAGTTTCATTCAACTTGGGACAATTTGTAATCTTATGATCCTTTTGGCCATGCCTCAGGCAAGCACCAGTTACCCTCCAACAATTCTTTGCGTCATGGTTGAGCTTGTCACATATAGTGCATCTCATCGATTTTTGGTTCATTATTTGCTTTCCTTTTGAATCCACATGTTGTCTCTTATTTTGTCAGTTCTTTTTATGATATCTACGTCCAATT